GCGGTCTTGGCTGCGCAATAGGAGCGACGGGACAACGGTCGAGATCACCTTTTACCATCCCTCACCGACAACACAGTACCGTATCCCGTAGGCGCGCGTCGCCTCGCACTATTTCGCTGATGGTTGCTTTGAGACCCGCATCACGCACTGGTCACTTCTCGGGCCTCGGCACGGCGCGGCCCTCGGCTGTGAGCCTCGGCACGACCGCCACGAAGGCCACCGAGCCTCTGCAATCCACCAAGTCAATAAATGCGCACATGTTACTTGCGATGAAGACCATACCGATTAGACATCTCACGGAACTCCCACGACAACGCCATGCTGCTCCAGGAGTAAATACGTCATCGAATAGTCCTTGCTCCACGTGTAGCTCTCTTATGTACTCCTGGTTTTCTCCCTGCGGCTATAAAAGGAGGCAGCCAGGACCGTTTCCAGGACGACGGATAGAATCACAGATACTCGCATGAACAACACGCCTCGTTCTGTAATTCATATCACCTTCCCTCACAGAGATCTGGGACGAACTCCCTCTCTCGCCTAGCTTGTAACCCCCTACTACGAGCATCCCGGTGCAAGGAATATAAGAACACCTTCTCAGACTAGACGTAGGGCATCCATTGCCCGAACCAGTATAAACCTTGTGTCTCTTTGCATCTCCATCCGGAAGAGGGAGCACGCAGCACAAATTCACTAGTCGGTTAAGGACCCCCGGTTCCGAAACACCGACACTAAGTATTAGAGCGTATGCTCTGAGTAGCTGTCGAGTTCTAAAGCTATTGAGCTGTTCGAATCCCCAGGTCGTCGAGTCCTCGAGTTGTCCAGCCCTTTCTTTTTTCTTGAGAGAGCTTTTAGAAGAGAGCTCATCCCCTTTTATAGTTTGAAGGGGATGGCCTTACAAGTCAGAAAGAGAGAGAGTGTGTACGTATGCTATCTAGTCTTGTTGCCCACGTTGTCGGGTATGAGACGGTCGTCGGCGTCCACAATACTGTTTATGTTCGGATACATCTGGCAGGCTCTACCGTGTTCGCCTGGCACGGTAAACGTCGGCGCCTACAATACTGTTTGTGCTCTGACGCATCTGGAAGGTTGTATAGTGCCAATCTGGCATGGCCTGGTGGCACCGTCCTGCAGGTGCGCAGGGCATGGCAGGGTACGGTCCTCGGTATTGCGGTTGACTTGAGCGCATTACCTTATCTGCTCCGCCTGATCCCCGGGCCCTCACCGAGCGGGCGTCCCCGGTAACTCATTTCCCAGTCGGCCCGACCGTGTCGGTCGGAAAAGAGCAGCGAGCAGAGGTCTGGCGTATCCTCGGTCGGAGAAGGAGGTCGGAGCCGGACTGCGGTCCCACCTTGGCCAGGCCTTCCGGTCGGGGATCGAATCGTTGTCCCGGCCTGTCATTATGTACCTGGGTCGGCCCAGGCGCCGCCTGCTGGGCCGGGTTTCACAGGGAAGCGGGTTCATTGGGACCCTGGGTTTATGAACCCGGCAATAATATTTTAGGACGAATATAGTACCAAATTAACACTTAGATATCCTTGTTGTGAGAATTTCTAGTTATTCTCTTCCTAACGTGTCTCGTGAGGGCCAACTTGTATGCATCCTCACTTGACTACCGAAATATATTATAGTACCTACTAATATAGAGGGACGATTTTGTTCGTAAATCATGGTTCAAAATTAGGTTTAGATTATTGGGAGTTCATTTTCCATCAAAAGCATATATAACAATTCCAGTTGCAACACAAAAGAACGTGGCACCTACGAATGTGTTCAAAATAATGTCTGCTGCGTTTGACTTTATTTGTCGTCCACCCGTTCTAGAATGTGCAGTGCTGGCTTTCGAAATTAAAAACAATTTTTTTTCGGAATTCAAGAAAACTTTTCTTCTGTATGTTTGATGAAGAGTACTAGCAGTAGATTGATGAAGAGTTGTCCGTGTTTGGCTGATGATATTCGTGGTCAAGGAGAAGATGTACATGGCCTCTGACCGTTGGTGGACTGGGCAGAGCCGCAGGGGGGCTTTACGTACTTTTCTCCTCGTGACACGAGTCAGTGGTGGCCTGGCCACATCGTCCTGTGAATATCCTTTTTGTCTGCTGCCACGTGGCACGCGAATATTCCTTCCCCCCCTCCCCCTATCTCTGCTTTGTTGCCATTCACTCAGTTTCGATCTTCGAGCTAAAGCCAACACATGCCTTGCTACTACAAACAAGCTAGGGCCGTGTTTAGTTCGACCGATTCGGCGCCAGCCGAATCACCGTAGCTACACTGTAGCTACAGTGTCGTTTGTTTTTATTGGATACTAATTGTCCAATCATTGACTAATTATGTTCAAAACGTTCGTCTCGCAAAGTACAACTAAACTGTGCAATTAGTTTTTGATTTCGTCAACATTTAGTACTTCATGCATGTACCGTAAGTTTGATGTGACAAGAAATCTTCTTTTTGCATAGTGCCAAATTCTGAAAAATAGAGGAACTAAACATGGCCTAGAACTGTTCTGAACTGATCCTGAATGGAGTTTTTTCAGCCCTTCTCAGACAATATACAATATATTATAGTTTCCTCCTTCGGTCCTTCCTTTTCATCTTCAGAGGAATGCACACTGTGTTCACTGCATTCCTCTACTGAAACCCATGAACAACTGAAGGACAATGCAAAGGCTTGGCTTCAGCAATGAAAAAAAAAAACAAGAGAAAATCCACGAGGGAAAAACAGTGCAATGTGTGGGCCTGTCCACTTACTCGATGTCATGGCTGACGAGAGAGAGAGAATAATCAGGGTGTCATGGGCTAATAGCCCGCCATGATGTGCACTCAGAGTGGTGGGGTGTGGGGGGGATGATTCTCTGAAGCCAATGCGAGAGCAGAAGAAAAAAAAGCAGCAGGGATTAGGACGCAGAGAGAGAGAGAGAGAGAGAGAGAGGCGTAAAAAAGAACGGCCAGAACTCATCAGGAATCTAATGGGATGCTAATTGTCTCCCCCTGCGTTAAGGTTCCTGGAGTGAAGGACCATCCTTGCATCCAGCCTTTCGTCTAGTGGACGGATCCGGAGGAAGGAAGGGAATTCACACAGAAAACCATATCTACTAGCCAGAACCCCGTGCGGGTAGATACTATGCTAGCAAGTGTAACAAAGATGGAGCCACGGAAATCAAAGCTTTCAGGATAGGAAATACTGAAAAGGAAATGACGACACACAATGAGAATGATGAAGACGGTTGCATAGTTATATTTCGAGTTTGGTTGTAACACCAAAATTACAGGGCATCTGAAACTGAAGGATGCACAAATATGGTTGGATTCAGCATGTAAACAAACTATTAACCAAACGGCACTATGATTTCCACTTCATGATGTGTGCTGAGGCATTACTGAAGATGCATAGGAATCTAAAATATGTATTTGACAATGAGGACTAAGCATCTGTGAAGAGCCAAGATGCAAGTTGTTGGTGCCGTTTGGAGTAGCAGGGCCACGAAAACAGCAAAGTAACACTTCCCTGTGCTGAAGATGGGTAAACTGCTTTCCTGTTACAGGTAGGAATTTATCAATAAGAGTAGTCTAGGATTCACAGTAGTAAAGTGTGGTACACCTATGTGGCATGTATAAAAAATCTATTGACCATCAACGGGACAATTGATGGATGATAATAGCGCTATATGCATATAGGATTTTGAATCTATGGCTAAATGCAGGCAAGAACAATAACTCAACTGCATTTTCTTCTTTTGAAGTAAGGCTGGCCAATACAGTATTTCACTGCAGCTGCACGTAGACAGAGTCAAAAAGTTAACTGGAACATCATATATATAAACTTACGGAGGATGGCGGTCAGGAAAATGCAATGAACTGCGAATAAATTAGGAAGGAATGTGAAACATAATTTGGGGACCAACATCTAGAGAATCCCAATATGTGATCTTGCAAAGAATAACAAATCTGGGTAATAAAAATGGCAAATTTTTTTATGAGACAGGAAAACATTGGTGCTTAAATCTGACCACACACACAAAATCAAACTGGAACGATGTACCTTGTTGGCATGGAGAGTAATCCGAGACTGCAACAGGACCATGGAAGAAGCTGTTCATTTTGCTATCATCCTGAGGCCAACATTATGTAAGCAGGTGAATATGCCTGTTGATAAATCTAAGCATGAGCCCAGAACTATGGCGAAAAAAATCCATTTGAACAACCATATTTACATGTCAGTATATACGAACGAAGAGTCTGCAAAAATATAAATAAGATGACTTAGTACACGGTGGCAGGAATGTGGAGAGCAGAGGGGCAGAGACCGGGCTGCCGGCGAAGCTGTACCGCATGATCTCTTTCTTGCTTCATCGGAGAGGTGCATCATATTAACATCATGCAACTCAACAAAGGTAGCATATTTTAATGATTCAGTTTCAAACAAAAGGGAATCCATCATTCAGTTGACCTCGTCTGTCGTACCTGAGAAAAGCAATTGCAACCAGAGAAGGCAAATTACTCTAAATGAATTAAAGGAACTGCTGGTTTTAAGATTACTACGAAACTGGGTTGGTGGGGTCGGTCGAAGCTGGAGCCCAATCCTATGCAGCGAGGCACAGTGGCGGATCTAGGTTTTTTGTACAAGGTATGGTGGACCAAAATTTTTATATCCAAACCGGTAGAAACCATTTAGCAACTCGGTAAAGTGCCATAAAAATTGCCCCACAATTTGGTATAGAAATATTTAATATCATGATAAGTCTTAGATTACATCATCTGCTACCTTTTTTTTACCTATGCTTTGTAATGGGCTCTCAAATTCGATGTGGCCACATCTACTTTGGGCTACATCTATATCAAATTAGAAATAGCTGTATTCCTATACGTTCTTTTGATCAGAGAAATCGAGGCTAATTTGCACAGTTCTACTGCGTACATGTGGCAACATGGGTACATGTATGAAATCAGATCAGAGAAAGTTAGGGTCAGAAAACTTGTGAACTTGCAACGAAGAAGAGAAGGGAGATGGCTGCGGGGCGAAGGGGGCTAGGGGCGCCGCACTGGCGCTGCTGGGGCGGGCTCACGCGAGTGCGGGAGCGCCTGGGCGAACGCGGACAGCCGGCGGTCGCCGGCACACGGGGCGGCGCGCAGGCAGGGGGGCCGACGCAGGGTGGCCTGCGCTCGCCCAGGACTGGGTGGGACGGCACGCACGCTGGAGGTGCCGGCAGCGGCGCGAGAGGCTCGGTGGTGAACAGCGGCGGCGTGAGGGAGCGAGGCGACCCGGCGAGGAGCGGGAGTCCGCCGAGGACGCGTGGTGGGGGATTTTTTCTTTCTTTTCTCTTTGCTATTCTGTCGGAGGGAGGTGGGCTGGACGAGGGTGACGTCGTGACCCGGTCTGGGCAGGAGTGCATCGGTTGTTTCCAGAAACTCGCTTGCGTGGCTGACATCCGGTGGAGGCGCGTGTACAGGCGAGGAGCGGACGGACCGGATTGGAGAACTGTAGAGCTACAGGGTTCTGAGTCTTGCGTGCTGGTTGGCACTATTGATCTACAGGAACGGTCACCGGAAAGAAATAGAGTGTTCGGCTGACTGGTCAGCTGGGGCTGGGCTAACCAGCGCATACACAAAAATACTGTTCGTATGCATAGTGATTTTAGATAGAACTTTATTTTTCTTTCGCAACAGTTAATCAAAATAATATTTTGATTTATTTTTCGATCCTGTCGAACCGTCGCAAAGGTCTTTATAGATAGATAGATATCTCCTTGCCGCGATCCGGATTTGCGCGGTGAATGTTCCTCCTATCCGCCAGCTCCATTGACATTCCACTGCCCACTGGATCGGATGGTGGCTGGCCTAAAGAAATGGAGCTCAACCTCATCAGCTGGATGGCCATGAAATTAGGTGCAGCCAGAGATTCGATCGAGCTCTCCGGTGGTCTTGTATTGAGCTGCTGTTACTCTGACTGCTATGCATGCATCGAGTCATGTTTTCTCTGCAGTTCAGTTCAGAGCATGAGAGATGAAATCCACAGCCATCTGTCTATAAAGTTGAGTTTCAGGCAGATCAAGACCTGTACCTTCTCCAGTACCAGAGTCTATGTCTGTCTGTTGCTGAAAGTTTGTCCTGTTCATGTGCCGTCAAATGTTCGTGTTCCTGGTTCTTTTTGGGCCTTGTTTAGTTGGATCTTAAAGTCCAAAAAGTTGCTACAGTATCTGTCACATCGAATGTTTGTGGTTCATGTATGGAACATTAAATGTAGATATAAATAAAAACTAATTGCACAGTTTGGTGGGAAATTGCGAGACGAACGTTTTGAGCCTAATTAGTCCATATTTGAACACTATTTACCAAATAAAAACGAACGTGCTACAGTAGCCCAAAATCCAAATTCACCCAACTAAACAAGGGCTTGCAGTACTTGAAGAACATTTTTTATTAAAAGAAAATAATACTTTCGCGGCTTTGGCATAATCGCTCTGTGTTTTTTAACCCAACCGACAGAACGAGGGAGCCATTTGAAATTTCGCGGCTTTCAGGAAGACAATAATGATTCATTAACAGTGTAACATTCCTAAAGTGGTCGGATCCGGCTTTCCCTTTTCTTCCTCTGCGTACATAAGCCTTTAAGTTTCTCTAATACTAACATCACGGCCCGTCTTCGTCTCCTTCCAGAAGTAGGCCACATGTGTCGAACTAAAGCTCCAACGACTGTCCCTCTCTTCCCTGACAGTTAAATTTTGCGTCTAATCCTTTCATTAGCAGTTCATCTTTTTCACCGACATGGAGATGAGTGATTCCATCTCCTTTCTCTCCCGGAACTAATCAGACCCTGAAATGGCACCTCAGTGACACGATTCCTTGTTTGCTTCTGAACTGAAAAAGCCAATCCTCGTTCACTCGTTCTGGATAGATATGATGAGCTAGACGCTGCTCCTGGTAGCCGAATTTTTTATTTTTCAGTTTTTTTTGAAAAATATTCATAAATAAATTTCTGGTGGTTTGATTTTTGTTTATGGCCCTTGACCTCGGTGCTATGGCTTTTTTGGCGTCGAGGAAATACGTCTCGGCGCCATAGCCAATGGCGCCGAGGTCTTAGTGAGGCGTCGGACGTGGCGGTGACCTGGCGCTGACGTGGATAAGGCCTCGACGCCGTAGATCTTGGCACCGAGCTCGGCGCCGTAGATGTTGGGCCCGAGCTGTTACCCTATAGATCTTAGCGTTTGAAATGAAACAAGTATAATTGTTCCGAGAAACATGCAACAATGCCATTGTGGTTTAGCTGGTTAGGACGCGCGCGACTTAGCTCAAAGGCCTGGGTTCGAATCCAGCGCTGAATCTTTTTTTGCTACATTTTATAAGCAATAGAACAAGAAAAATTATTTCGAGAAACTTGCTATATCTCAATTGTGGTCCAGTTGGTTTGGACGCACAGGTCTCAGCCCACAGACCTGGGCTCGACCCAAGCAGTGAATATTTTTTGCTAAATTTTTACTTTTATAAGCAATTACAACAAGAAATATTATTCCTTTATTATTAGCGTCCTGGGTTTCACCGCACACCGTATACTATTGTTCCATTGTTTCACCGTACACTGTATATTTAATTTATTTTTTATTTGATTTTGAAACGTTATGTACCTTAATCAAGTTGAGTTGAGTGACGTGTTTATATATATCTTGTTGCTTGGCCGTCCTTTTACTTACATGCATACGACTTTTGTCGTCAGATATAAGTTGAAGGCTTTCGAGACAGGGAGTAAATAAAAAAATATTTTATATTAAGTAAGTGTAATTTTCTTTGCCTCCCTATTTCAGTGTTGAGCTCTTTAATTTGCATACCTCCCTATTTTACATGAAATAGAATTAACAAGAAGAATGGGCTTAATGTATTAACTAAGAGCTCTATATTATCATCATTTGAACTATTCAACTAAGTTTGGTGAAGAAGGGAGGAGGATCTCCCCCTCGTAAGAAAAACACTACTACCGAGGTATATAAACTAATAAATAAATAAATACATCCATGATTATGATAATATAAGGAGGATTTGGATTTAGATAATATATAAATAAATGCACCTTGAGATGTATCCTTCGTCCAAAACAAATTATAAATTAGTGAATAGTGTTCTCTCATGTTAATAATAACAAAGTTTGGTGGACCCAGGATCTTAGTAATAACTAAGTAAACAAAAAAATGATTAATAAATGCTGCAAAAGATTCGGTCCTGGTAGCTGCATTGTTTTCTACTGTGCTGCCTGATGCGTTGCCATTGCAGACTGGACTGCATGAGATGAAACGGATCGATTCCTCCGTACCGCAAGGAGCCGTGAACAATCTATCCATTCACTGCACTTCTGGGTGCATGCAGGTAACAGGAGTCAGCAGGTGCAATTATGCAAAGCGGGCACAGAAGAACCGTGAGATGTTTTTTCTTTTCAGAAAAAAACGAACCATAACAAGCTAATAATAAGCGACATGTCTAGTCAGAAGAACCATAGCAAAGGCAGAAGAACAGTGACATGTCTAGTCACCTCAGATATTCTCCTGATGAGAAAGAAAAACATTTAATCTCTCTCTATCTCTCAACTTTTTATCTCCGGTTATTGTTTGCTGCAAAATTCCCAGCAGTTTACTTCCACGAGCTAACGAGCCTGTTCACGGATTGATTTCTGGGTTGATAAATTCAGCTGGTGCTAATTTGTTGTGAGAAAAAAACACTAACAAGAGCAGGTACTGTAGTGGCCTAGTTGCAGGTCTTTCGTTAGCTCGCTTTACGACCTCACAGTGATAGGAACAGGGGTAGTCTGCTCAGGCTCAGCTAGTAGGCGAGTAGCCATTTTCTGAACTCTGACTGAAATCCTTTCCACCTGAACACTCCTGCTGCCCCTGCAGTTTTCCACGACGAGCTGAGTGTACTGCATACATTGACCTGTGCAGCTCGGCACTTTCTCCCTCCCCAGCTTTGCTGCAAACTCTTGTCTTATGCAGGCAACCAACATCTGGTTCTGGCAGCAGAAGCTAGCGCGCTCCACTCCTGACCTGAATACAGTTGCCACGTTCTTCCGAGAGCGAGAGCGATGCAGATTGCAAACAAGAAGAGATCAAGAGAAGAGAATGGTGTGTATGCGCGATAAGCATAATACGTGGGGGATAAGGTTAGGGCGCGTGCGTGAGCGATTTTGGAGAGGGGATCTATGCTCTTGGGCTTTAAAGTGGGGTTTAAGGCGGGGCCAAGGGAAGGTGCTTACGGCTATCAAAGACGACGAGGGATAAAGCGACAGAGGGAGAGAGGACAAGCTGCTGCTTTCAAAGGGGCTTTGGCCTTTTGGGGTTGGGTGGTAAGTAAAGTGCCCTGCAAAAGGCTTCGCTCCGGCTAGTAGCGAGCCGAGAGTTTGATCCAAATCTTGGAAAGGGATACCGCCAATCGCCCACTGGGAGAGGAGAGCTACGACTGCAGACCACTACTTGGATCAGGCTAGGTGAGACAGCGTAGTGTGTCATATGAGAGTGTTCGGATAACAATAACAAAACAAATTACAGGAATTCTCGGAAATCCACGAGACGAATTTATTAAGCCTAATTAACCCATCATTAGCACACGTTTACTGTAGCATATCGTTGTCAAATCATGGACTAATTATGCTTAAAAAATTCGTCTCGCAAAGTAGTTACAATCCGTATAATTAATTATTTTTTTAGTCTATATTTAATACTTCATGTAACCCAACTTTAGGGAGGAATAGTATGCATGGTGGCCTCCTCCTGCTGCTGCTGCTGCTGGGTGGGGGTGAAGGTGGCGGCTAGTACTTGGTGCTGCACAGAGGCGGACTGGCGGCCGCTAGACCTCGCCGCTGGCGAGGATCCCTTCCCTCCCACACAGACTTTTTTTTTCTTCACCGGACGCTAGTGCCTGCCGGCTGCCGAAATTGTCTCCAGGTTCAAGACGAATGAACAAGATAATGCCTCGACGGTTGGACCTCACTTCATGGGCTGCTAACTGTTGTGGCAGTGGTGTTCCTGGGCCTAAACTGGGCTGGCATTCCCAGCCCACCAAGCAAAGCCGTTGGTTTCTTGGTAAAAAAAGATAGCTCAGGTGACCAGGAAAATAGTCACAGTTGCTTCTAAAACGTTTCTAAAAAAATTGCTTCTAAAACAAAAAAGGAAAATAGTCACATTTTTTATTTATGGGCAAAAGCCTCTTTTCACCTTCCTCCTTTCATTCCCCATCCATTTCTCCTCTCTCCCTCTCTTGCGCAGGCCTCCCACCTCCTGGCTGCTGCGCAGGCGCTCTCCAGCAGCTGTAGTAGCCTCCTCGACGCCCGCTCGTGCTCTCCTCAGCGACCGAGCATGCTCTCCCCATCTCCAAATCGTTCTGGTGGTACGTCATCTTCTCATCTCTCTCTCTCTCTCTCTCTCTCTCTCTCTCTCTCTCTCTCATTTCCTAACTCCGGCGGGCTTAGAAGGGGCTCGGGGTAGGCAGGGCAACTAGGCGGTGAGGACGGCGGGAGGGTGGCATAGAGGCGGTCGGGCCAGGTCAAGGCGGGGGCGCCCATGGCCATGATGGCGGTGGGAGGGGGGAGGGGA